CGATTGCGGTACGTTGGAATTACGAGTCGGACTCTCAACGCCTAACCCACGGTCGTCGCATATATACTCTGCTCACCTGTTGAAACTTCCTTCCTTGACGAGCTGCCATTAAGGTTTATTGCTTGATCTGCTCTCCCTAATGTTAAATTTTCAGTTCGTATTTTCTTGTCTATATTTTTCCTAGACTAATGTGTCTCCCCCCCCCCTCCTTTTTTTCTACAAAGGCGGTAGCTTCGTATAAAGGCATATAGGGTTAGATCTATATTTTATAAGCCAATTAGTACTCGGTTGTGGCATGGTCAATATCACGTGTGCCACCTTTACTTCCAACCATTTATCTGGTTCAAGTTTAAGGCAAGGTCATTGCTGGCCAGGATCAGAGCCCACGACTTTTGAGTCTACCGCCGAGCGTCTAACCTCTACACCACGGCTGCTCCGGGTAGCTTGTAACAGATTTTAAAGAACTCTTTAAGTTACCTTTATGTATTAAAGCTATTTGCGGCGTATCCTTTACTTGACGTTGCAGAACCAACCCCAGCAATTTTGTGGCTATTGTGGTTTTTGGGCCAGGATCAGAGCCCACGACTTTTGAGTCTACCGCCGAGCGTCTAACCTCTACACCACGGCTGCTCCGGGTAGCTTGTAACAGATTTTAAAGAACTCTTTAAGTTACCTTTATGTATTAAAGCTATTTGCGGCGTATCCTTTACTTGACGTTGCAGAACCAACCCCAGCAATTTTGTGGCTATTGTGGTTTTTCTAGGCAAATTTACGTCCAGTAGTTGGCCATTACTTTCTGGACCTTAATTATTAGGTAATCAATTTTACGGTTGTCATGTGACTCTTCCTTCTCGCATAGTTGTTACTGCATCTCGTTCTTAGGTAACAATTACTTTTTTTTTTTCACAACCTGCGGGATGTATAAGAACACAATAATAATTTCTACATGTAAGGTAGAAACGTAAAATTTTGTTTATTGGCAATTTAAGTGACGCCACCAGCGGGGATTACATTGCACGCAGAAGCGGCGGGACCTTGGCCTTTAGGAACCTTATAAAAAATATTAATTAAAAAATAATAATAATGGGGCCGTGGCCGAGCCAACCACTCCTCTCTCTCTTTTGAATTTTTAAGTGAGCGTAGCTGCTCTTTTTGACTCAACATTAAAAAACAAAATATTTTACACGCATCTTTTATTTCAAATATATTTATTTCTCTTTCTGTACCTCATCATCATTATCATCGTCATCAACACCATTATCGTTATTATCATTAAGCACTTCACATAATGTTTAGGCAGCAAGAGCACCCCCTCCCACGCCACTCTTAAAAATGTGTATGACAGGTGAGGCCTCCACCCCCGCCTCCTCCAGTGTTTTCTGTGTGTACAGGTTCTTGACTGCGTGCTTTGAACGTAGAGAAATCACTATGTACGTAGAGAAATCACGTTGTACGTAGAGAAATCACTTTGTACGTAGAGAAATCACTTTGTACGGAAAAAATTGCTGTGTGGGAAAGAAATTACAGCCCTAGAATGAGGAACTAAAAGAGAACAGAAACAAATCCGCGTTTGAGACAGAATTGTATGTTTACGCTATGCTCGACAAAGTACACAGGTAACGCTCCAACATTCACTAGTTAAACATGGGTCGTCTTGTCGTCTGCTGGCCGGGTGGCTCGACAGTGCTGCCAGATCATCATAGGACGTAGATGAGTGATGTATGTTTGAATGGCGTGCTTTGCTTAACTCTTTCAGGACGACATTTTGTCTGGGGTTTGAACAGCATTAATGTTGAGGGGAATTTTTTTTTACTGCAACACGACAAAGCTAAAACCTTCCTGAAGAAAAAGTATTCGCTGTATCGGGACACATAATATATCAAATTAAAGATAAATGAGTGCAAAATGAATCTAAACTACTTAAATGTCAGTATAACAACCAAATGTTAATAAAATCACATAACATTCAAGGATGTTAGACACATATGAAAATTATTGACATAAAAACTTTTTTTTTGCTTACCTTATTTTTCACTTGTTTAACAACCCTGCTATACAATTCTAAGAATACACATGTCTTCTCTGTTCAAGTATGTAGTAGCTAGTCTTTGTTTAAAACAATTAATTTAAATACTTTGAATATTATGATCATTTTTGTATGCCACGTCAATTTTCACAACAACCAAAAATCTGAAAAACGGCTGATCGAAACATTGATCTGACTGAAATATTGTGTGAAATTTCATAAAAGTTCGTTTTCCCTACATACGGAAAAAAATTATAGTGTATCATGATCCAGTAAACTTGCTTTACGTCTTTAAAGTGTAGACTTAATCGCCAAAAAACTGGCTAACGTCCGTAAAGAGTTAATGGATGGCGATTTATGTTTAAGATAGTCTTATTTTTGGAATGTCAGACTGTGTATGTGTGTATGTCTGTATGTCTATATATAGTGCATACACATTTATTCATGCAAACTCATGTGTGTTTTTCCCACCAGCATAGAAACACATAAAGTTTTGATAACCACTTTATGGGGTATAATCACAATTATCGGAGCTCTAGGAAACATGACAGTCGTGCTCACAATGTGGAAGCACACAGGAAAGGGTATGTCGAGGTGAGCTGTGTGTGTGTTATTTGTTTTTGTAGATGTATGTCTGTCTGCCTGTCCGTGCGTCCATCCGTCCGTCTGTCTGTCTACCTGTTTAATCTAATTTAATCTAATCTTGTCTCTCTGCTTGTCCGTCTGTCTGTCTGCTTATCTGTTTGTCTGCCTGTCCAACTGTCTATTTGTCCGTCCATGTGTCTGTTTATCCGATTTAAATGCCGCCCATTGCTGTACTCCCCACGTAGAAAACATATTCATATCGTTAAATAGTACAATTTACTTTGCTCTATTGTCATATAGAAAAGAAAATAAGCTCATGACTTGAAAACAAAAAGCCTTCAGTAACCTTATTATCCCTATAATAAATACGGCCTGCGACGTGAAATGGGACAGTCTCTTTACTGCCGTGGATTGAATACGTTTATTTACATAAAAAAGGATCCGTTACTTTATTGACCATCTACAAAAAGTAAGAATGTCCACTATTGAAATCTTCATTTAAATATACATATATATATATATACCTTGTGATGATAAACATTTCTTTATCCTTCAAAGTATTCTTCATGGCACAAAAAATGCATAATTAACTTCACATTGTTAAATTATTTTCTTTGTGATCCCCCCCGCACCCCACCCCCCTTTTTTCCCACTCCTGATCACCTCTGCCTCTAAAACTAACAATAACCACCAACTGACTGGTTCACAGTACTACAAGACTTATAGGTGGAAACCCTTCCTTTAAGTCCCTGAAATCGAGTTTTCTAACTCGAAGGTGTCCAGCAGCATACACTCAGACTCGTAATTTGATCTCAGAAACTCAGTTAAGAGCCTCGCCAGTAAATGGCTTAAAATTTATGTTTCATTATCCCCACGGACTTGTGTTGTTGCCAGGCTGTTCCACTTCTACATGCACTAAATGTGTTGTCAGCTGTTGCTAATTGCATTATGTAATACTTTGTAGTGTTCACAAGCAATGGTTGTCATAAACAATCAGTTATTTGCAGACGGATGGGATTATACTGTAGCTCGAGCAAACGTGTTCAATAATCTAATAAAAATAGACCTATGTCCTTTGTTTAAGGACTGTTATTTCTTCTGACCAGCAATTTATTTCTTCTGACTAGTAATTTTATGGCTGTCTCCTTTTCGATTCCAACTTGGTATGTAGATCATTGCTGTCTGTGATAGGCTGCCTTTTGGCAGCCAAGATAAATAGCTGAACTATCTTTACATGAAGACACCTCCTCAAAACTATAGTGACATTAGTTTATTTAGAGACTTTTTCACGTATCGCTCCTGTCGCGTGACTGATTTAAGGATTTCTCCTTAAGAACCAACAGCACTCTGAAATAATTATGTTGAGTCGTAGGCTTGTATTGGTCTAAGGGATGCCCCGTGGCCAATATACGCTCAACTTATTTGAGGAGTAGGGCAACTCAAGTTTTAGCACTACAAAATATATAATATTCCTAGGCACACTTGGCTGGACACCCCCACTACTATAAAAAGATAGCCGCCAGGTTATGATAGTATACTATAGTATACTATCATAACCATGTTAACACAGATAAATATTATTAATTGAACATACATGTATTTTAGACATCTAAGAACAATGAATGAGTGACACTCCAGTCAATAGTGAAACTTTAGAAATACTGTAATAAGTGTAACACATACATTATATAACAATCAGCAAAGAACTTCAAGAACCTAGAGTGATATGAAGGACTACAACTTCAACTAGATCTGACTGCACGTGTATGAATGTTCCAGAGTCTGCCTACATCATCCTTATGATGAATGTGAACATTTAATAGTGAAGCCTGGCAATAAATCCATGATCGCCAACACTTATCTGAATCCCTTGTTTCTTGAACTGGCCGCATGTTCAGTCACTCTGTTGTTATGTTCAAGACAGTCCCACACTAGACACTCGAACACTGAAGATACACCCAAGCTCCTGGAGAGGATCTCAGGTACCAAGTCAAACACTTGAGGCACAAACAAACTGCCGGATAATTGATGGTAGAGGTACAACACCCATAATGTTCTCTGTAGACCAACTGGAGGATTTCATTACTTGATGACCACAGTTAGGTTCACCATCTGATGCCCACCACTGGCTTAGACATAGGTGACTTCCTTGTAGGTGGTTTTGTGGACTGCTGATTCACTGCCTGGCCTCCAAGGAGATATCATCCTGTATCAATAAGGAACTCAGAATTAGCAGTCATCTCAGGGGTTACATGTCAAGCTCAGTTTATCAACATACAATCATTCAGAGGACAGCTCTGGGGATAATGAGACAGTGTACGTCTCTACATATCATCTGTATTGTTCAGTCAGTAACAGGAGATGAGTGCCAGAGTGGAGACAGATAGACTATAAAACAGAGAACATCGACTCTCCTAGCCCACCCGCACTTGTAGACACACATCCCATCTCTCTCTCTCATATATATATTTTTCATACCATCCCCCGTCTGTTTACCGTACACACTTTGTTGTGCTAAAATTAACCTTTGACCCAGAGCGCCAAGCTTGCTTTTGTCACAGCAACAAGCCGCCCAAAGATGACCCAGTTTACATGTGTCTATTAGTCGATACAAATCCTACGTTTGGTTATAGAATAATTACTTGTAGGGTTTAATATCTTTACAAATGGTCTGGGTTATGTAGAGCACAAACTATTTAGTCTGCACATGAAGAGGTTTAATGTTCGGAGCCCAATCTCTGGACATCAGGAACGGTCGAACTCTGTGCGATCACATAGCTAACCCTGCCTCTATGCAACAGTGGCCAACTTTAAAAAGACATATTTTATGGTACTCGTAAACTATAATCAACCTACTCAAGCTTAGGAAATGTCCTAGACACCAAAGGCCGCCTCCTCAAAGCATAGATGTATGAGGCACAGTTAAGAACATCTGTTCTTCTAGGCAGTCAGGCAGAAAATTCCCGCTTCAAACTACGCTTAGCGTCACTAGGAAAGAAGTTCCTTGTATTCATGAACAAGGAGTAAATCGGTTGACAGGAATTTCTAAATAAAATATCATAATTCGCTAACCTACAGTTGCAAGTTTGAAAATGAAGATATATCAAAGCAACTAGAAGGTCTAGAAATGACTATTTTACCAGATAAAGGTATAGATCAATATAAGGGACTATATACCTTTCCGGACGGGTCTAAGTTTGAAATTTTGCTGAGCGCGAGGGATTTCAAGTCCCGACTCGTCCACCGTGTATGGTGGCTGTTCAACTCATGACAGACTTGACAGAATCTTAATGTAAATATCATTTTAGTGTTTTAGTAAATGATTTGCATTTGCAGTGCAGAGATTAAACAGCATGAAGAACCTATGACAAAGCACTAATAAATAGGTTAAAGCGGAAATCTTGAGATAATGCATTTTTCCTGTGGCAACTTACGGTTGTGAGTCGTGGACTCTCACTCAGTCACTGAGGAAAAAGATTGAAGCTTTTGAATTAAAATGTTAAAGAAAAATTCTTAGAATACCATGGATGAAGAAGAGGAAAAACATTGACATTCTAAACGAGTTGAACATCAAGGAGAACTGGCTCATAAACAGCATCCTGTCCGGAAAGTTGAAGCCCTTTGGCCACATAAAGCGTCATGGTGGTTTGGAAAAGACGGTGATGAAGGGTGCAGTTTGTGAAAGGCGAGGTAGGGGTCGACCACCGCTAACATGGATACAGGACATTGAAGAAGCATTGGTATTGAAAGCACATGGGGCCGTAGAGCTGGCTAAGAAAAAGGATACTTTCAGGCGTGCCTGAACATATGCATACATTCCCAGAATGATACTTCTTGTACTTTGTCGATAAACAGTAGAATTCTGGGGATCTTTACGAATAAGTCACTAGACTCAATCTATGGTAAGGAACAATCGTCTAGACTTCTTACGATTTATATTTATGCTGAGATGACCTTTGGTAAGTAATTATTTATATCGTTCTCTGACACATCTAACTGGAGACTTCCAGACAAAACCATGAACAGGCGGAAGTAAATAGCAGAAAAACAATGGGTAGTGGTTGACTGAGTGAGGAGTGGGGTAAGTGGGTAAGTATACTTTTTAGAGGGTAGCTCTTTTATCTCGATCTAATACAAAAGATGGTATCATTATAATGTGTATTATAGAAAACGGTTCTATGAGAGGTACGGATGGAGAAATTATATTTATAAAACTGATATAATGAACGGATTGGCTGAATACGTAGACGACCATTCTGGGAGAAACTGGAATCATAAATACAATCTGTATAAACAAATTAGATCAAGCATCTTTAATCTGAAACAGAAAGGGGCTTTAGAAAGGTTTTTTTTTTTTTTTGGAAAAAAAAAAGGGGGGGGGGGAGAGTGGCAGGAGAAGCGCAAATGACCTGAGCCACTATGTTATCCAGTAAGCTTAGGTCACTTTAGTCAGTTCCAGGTGATTTTGGATAATCTAATCTTTTTTGTGTTTCATATAATTTTTGTAGACAAATATGTTGTGTTTAGTTTAACTTGCTCTTCGCGTAAACTATATTACTTTTATTTCCCTCTATGAATTCTTGATATTTTTTTTTTTTTTTACATATCAGTTTCTTTCCCAGCATTTCGGTTTTTTTTCGTTTAAAATATTTTAGTGGTACGTTTAATTATTCACACTTGCGTAGTCGCACGATGGATGTTGATGTTTGTCACAATTGAAGATGGCCACTCTTATCCCTCACTAAGAGGGTAATTAAAGGATACGTGTCGATGTCGTTCGCATGTGTAAGCATCAGCAGGAAGTGTGTATCACATAGAAATTTCGTTGTCGTGAGTTTCCCGTGGAGAGTATGCGTGCGCACCTAGCATTATATTACTAGTTAAAGGTAGCTCTCACGCGTTACGTTTCTGCATGGGTGGCTTAACTTTATTATACCACTTTTGCGGCGTAGGCGGGCGGGGGACGACTTTGAGCCTGAGTATTTACGACAGCATGTCTTGTT